TATATATGTTGTTGTTGTGAAGTGCCATTGAGTCGGTTCTGACTCATAGCAACCCTGTATAGGGTTTCTGAGGAACAGCTGGTGAGATTGAATCACTGACCTTGAGGTTCAAAACAACATTGCAGTCCAGTGCATTAACCCACAGCACCACACCAGGACTCTCTCTCATACACATACATACACAGAGTCTTGGCACTATAGGGTAAGCACTGAACTGCTAACCACAGGGTTGATGGTTCAACCCCACTAGACCAGTTACACCTCAGAAACCCTGTACAGTTTCTATGAGTTGGAACTGACTCGATGGCACTTAAAACAACAACAACATATATATCTGTATATATATTTAGAGAAGGATTTATCTGAGTGAAAACTGCTATGATGACGTGTAACTGTATTTCTAGATTTCAGTTCTATTACTTTTTAGCTGTGTGACCTTGAGGAAGCACTTAACCTCTCTGTGCCTGAATTTCTTCAGCAATTCCTGTGCACCACTGAGCTGTTGAGACAGTCAAACTAAATGGACATGAGAGTTCCACTTGACAGTGACATCACAATGGGGACTTTGGCTACCTGCCCAGAGAGACAGTCATATCCAGCCTTTGCTGGTTCTGTATGGGGAGGCGGGGGGAGGGTGCACCTACCTTCAGCAGCCGGGGAAACTGAACAGCATCCCCCAGCTTGGGGTTGCAGAGCATCTGCACCTCGTAGGACTGGCCTAGGACGAGTTAGGGGGATGTGTGAGCTCTGCTGAAAGGCAAAGATAGTGCCTACCATCCCCAGCCCACCCTGCTTCTGCCTCCAGAGCTTGCTGTCCCCCTCCCCGCAGCTCCTCCCCTGCGTCAAACCCGAGGTACCCTGGTTCAGGTAGGTGAGCGTCTCCTCATGCTGCTTCACAGCTGGCGAGGTAGCAGCACAGAGCACATACTGGAACACGGAGCCGAGCGGGTCTGCACTGGGGATGTTGGGCAGCTCTTCCTGCTTCAGGTAGGGCAAGGGCAGGGGCTCCCTGGGGAAGTCGGGGCCAGGAAGGCACTATAGGCTTTCTGTCCCCAATTGATTTTGACTTTCCTTCCAAGGAGCCCATAATTTCCTCTAATAGGTACCCCAATCAACCCTGCCAGCCTCTGGGAAGCCTCTTAAAGGGGCAAACTCCAGATTTGCAGCTGTTCTTCTACATAGCTGCCTTAAGTTGCTTGTTTTTACAACCTCAGGACTTGCCTGATACACACAGTACACACCCAACACACATGACCTGGGTGGTAAGGATGTTTAGAGATGTCCCAGGATCCACTACATTCCAAGCACATTCGACCACTTCCCACCACCAAAAGAACCAAGAATAAGATGGCTGTTTCCTTCTGCTTGAATCCTGTGGCCGGATCCATGTCTACTTTCCTAGGCCGAAGGCTTACCTGAGCAGGCTGCTGGGAGGCCCAGGGTATAGTTCTCCAGGACTGGGCCACAGGTGCTCCGACTGGTTGTGCCAAAACAGCATTTTGGAAAGGGAGCAGAGCCAGTTGTCTGGCAGATCTAAGGGTTGGGCAGGACCCACCTGGGGCCTCAATCTTTATACACAGAGGCATGGGGCTGGAGGGCGGAGCAAGGCCTGGGGCCTCTTATTGGCTGAGCTCTAGGAAACTCAGAACCTGAAAGGCAGTCCAAGTTGGGGGGACTCAAGAGCTGGTGGCCCGCAGAGGTTTCCACTAATCTTTAACTTGAAGAACAGAGGGTGGTGAAGGAAAACAGTCACAGGGATGGACTGAGGCTCACGACTGCCCCTAGATCCAAGAGCCTCGCCCAGGGACATACATCCTCAAGAGGCCCAGGGACACTGAGGCTCACGACTGCCCCTAGATCCAAGAGCCTCGCCCAGACCCCTCACATGACCCCATAGGAGGAACCTGTCCACAAAGCAAGCAGGCAGATAGAGTCATAAGGATCCACAAAAATTCGTTACTCAGTACCGGTCTTCCTACCACACACACACAGAGATCGAAGGTCCCTGTCTTTTCACTTCAGGGTGCCTGACTAGGGTACTAGAGTTTACAGAACACAGTAGGCTTGTTGTGGAAACACCTCAGGGGTGGTGCTGGAGGGAGAGCTGCCTGCCTGTGGGGAATAGGGGAGGAGCCCCAAGTGCCCCTCAGGCCAGGAAGAGCCAGAAGCAGGTCTCTTGAGGGCAGTGTTTATGGACAAAATACAGTCTGCCTAAGGGAGAGCTTCCTTCCCCATGCCCAATACCTGCTGTCACTGTACACAGCCCAGCCCCCTGCATCCATCCCCTGCTAGTATGTTGAGTGTAAACAGACCTAAGGGTTTGCAAAAAGCAGAAACAGGGCTCTGAAAACGTGGCCTGACCTAGTGTGACCCTTCTATCTAGGTTTTGTGATTAAGGAGCTCTAGTAGCATAGTGGTTATGAATTGGATTCATAGCGGTTATGAACCTCATGGTCAGAAGTTCCATGGCAGAACGATGAGACTGTCTGCTCCCGTAAAGATTTACAGCCTCGGAAACCTTGTACAGGGTTGCTATGAGTTGGAACCGACTCCATGGCACATAACAACAACAACCTGGGGAGAACACCAAAAAGGTTCCCCCAACACACACACACAAGGCAAGGCACCGCCATCTCCAGGTACTAGGCCTTTTGTCCTGTTTATGCTTTCTCCTCTCATGAGGGCATACAAAATGGAAAACCAGAAACTCAAACCAATTGCCACTGAGTCAATTCTGACTCATGGTGACCAAGTGTGTATTCAGTAGAACTGCACTTCATAGACTTTTCAAAGCTATGGTCTTCTGGAAAGGGGAGAGAAGAAGAGGGGGCTGTTCTGCCAATGGGGTCTGAAGAAAATGTCTGAAGTTTCCAAAATGTTCATAGTAAGTTAAAAGTGTGGTCAAGATCAGGAAGAGCAAATGCCCACCAGAGTCTAATCATGGGGGTACAGACAAAAATCTCCCCAGAACCAGAAATACTCCCACATACGGGTCATTTCGAGGACAATTTTTTTTGGGTGTGATTAAATTTTTTTTACCTACTGAAGTGAGGTGCAGGTAAGATGAACCATTTTAAAGTCATCAATTCTGTGGTATTCAGTGCATTCCTCACAATGACGTGTAACCAGCTCCTTCGTCTAGTTCCACAACGTTTTCATTAGCTCAAAAGGAAGCTTCCTACTCATTAAACAGTAACTCCTCATTCCCGCTCTCTGATCACCTGACTCATCTGAGGGGTTATTTGTTGTTATTGTTTTAAAACTTTTATTGTGAATTGAGTGAAGGTTTACTGAACAGACAGTCAGCTATACATTTAACAAATGATGTGGTTTCATTACAATGATTGCAATCCCCTCCATGTGTCATCCATTAACAGTATTTACCTCTATTCGCTTTAACTTTTTATTATGAATAGAGTGAAGGTTTACAGGCAAGATCATCTGCTTTACATTCAACAAATCACCTCAGTGATTTCAATCCCCTCCCTACAACAGCAGTTGTCCATCCCTCCCCACCCCCTCTCACCTTTGTCCTTGGGTAAATGCTGCCCTTTTGATTTTGAATGATTGTCTGTTTCATCATTCATAGTGATATGAATGATATGAATACCTTAGTGATTCTTTTTAATTTAGCTTTTCCCACTCAGAATGATCAATCATTTTCTTTGTTGGTTCCCTAATCCAAGCACTGGAATGTGAACCACAAAGTACCTGTTTCAAGCCCACCAGCCACTCTGCTCAAGAAAGATGTGGCTTCCCGCTCCTGAGAAGATTCAAATAGTCAGAAACCCTATACATGGTTGCTATGAGTCAGAACCAAACAGCTTGCAGTTTAAGTCAACAAGAAGCCAACAAAGTAACTTTTCATCGGGATAAATTGTTGAGAAAAAAAAGTACAGAATTCTTCTCCTCTAACCAAAATGTTCTGTTCTTCTCTCTATCCCCAGGCAACATTCCTACCTGGAGAACTAGAGAGTGAAGTCTACCCTTCCCCCCACAGAAAGAGAAATTTTTCCTCATGCACGCATTCATTTATTTCACAAAACGTTATTTAGTGCCTACTATGTAGGAGGAGTCCAAGAGTGGTGCTGTGGGTTAATGTACCGAATTGCAAGATCAGTTTGAACTGAAAGGTTGGTGGTTCAAGCTCACCAACCACTCCCTGGAAACCCTATACAGGGTCGCTATGGGTCAGAACCGACTCAATGGAACTTAACAATAACAACAACTATGTAGGAGTCCCTTGGTAGTATAAATTGTTAACACACTCAACTGTGAACTGAGAGGTTGGCGTTTCCAGTTGCCCTAGAGGCATCTGAGAAAACAAGACCTAACAATTTACTTCATAAAAATGAGCCATTGAAAACTCTAAGGAGCACAGTTCTACTGAACACACATGAATCAGAATCAACTGGACAACTGATATTTTAAGTATGTGTCAGGTTCTCTCTTTCAGTCATACTAGTGTTTGGAGCCAGGGCAGGGTACCCGAGTGTGTGGAATCCTGCCCTGTCCAACACTCATGAACACCCTGCTCCACCCACACAGTGTTGGTCCAAAGGGCTGGGTTCTGAGTTCCAGACAAGAGGAGAAGAATTGTGACCATGGCAATGGATGATATACAATAGAATGAATGTAATACTGATGTTCTCCCATGTGAACTATCACATAATTCACAATAAAACATTTAAGAAAAAATAAAATTTAAAAAAAGGAAAGGAAATGGAGAGGAGTGGATAGAATGTGTGGGATTTTTCAGACAGACAGACAGAGATATACACACAGACTCCCAGCTGACAGCACCATGTGACAATCCCTGAGTGGGATCTGTCCACATGTATACGAAGACCCCCCCAACCCTAGGAGGGTTGTCCCTCCTCCCAGCAAACTTTTCTGGGGCCTCTGGTGCACGCTGCCAGAGCCCCAGTGAAGTTAGACAATGTGGGGACCTGACTCTCTAAACTTTCCCCTTGCTCGACAAGCTTTACCCCAGTCTCCCTCTCAGTCACTGAGAAGTCTTTCTTGTTGTCTCACCACCTTCCCAGCTGCAGGAGGAGGACCTGTGTGTGTATATGTGTGAGCACCCTCTTAAAGGACATGCCACTGGTATTAGATAGTCTCTCTGTTCACATTTCAAACTCGCTGACTGCTTCTTAGCACTTCCTGCAACTGGGCTAAGTCCCAGCCAGTTGGCACTTCTTTTTTATTTTATTTTATTTTTTATTGTCAGCTAGCTCCTGCTAGACATTATAGGAATCAGAAGTCTTTATTTATTTTCACTTCATGCTCTTCAATTTGTAATTGATTGATTGACAATATTTGGCTCTACTTTATGGTTAATTAAGTTCTTTTTTTTTTTTTTATGTTTTATTGTGAATTATGTGATAGTTTACACAGTTGGCACTTCTGTACTCTGTGTCCTGTCTCGATGAGCTGCATGTTACAGTGCCCATCAAATTCCTTCATAACAGTTATACCAGCATGCACTTTGTTCTTATTGTATTATCTGTCCAGTGTCTGTTTTCCCACGGGTGTAGGAGCCCCCTAAGGAAGGGACAGGGGGAGGTGCTGTAGTGCAGGCGGTAAGAGCATGTTTCCTCTCACAGACTGTGGATTCAAGACTAGCTCTCTGGATGTGGGCAAGAAACTTACCCCCCCTGCACCTTATGCTGCGGTAATAAAATGGGGGTGATGAGAGCCTCTATTCTAGAGTGCAATGTTGAAGATGGAATGAACGTCTAACTGAGCCTCAGTAAATGTGGGAATTGTTTTCTCCACTGTGTCCTTAGCACCTAGTTGTACATTGTTGTTGTCATTAAGTGCCGTAGAGTGGTTCTAACCCATAGCTACCCTGTGTAGAGTTTCCGAGGAGCGACAGGTCTGTATCATTCTGATAAGTACAAGTGTGCAGAGTCCTACAGAGCTCAGGATAACTTCTGAGTGCTTTTCTAGAAAAATTAAACCTATGACTTAAAGAAGGAGCACTGGTGGCACTGCAGTTAAAGCACTTGACTACAAACACAAAAATTAACAGTTAGAATCCATCCAGCGGTTCTGAGGGAGAAAGACCTTTTTATCTGCTTCCACAAAGATTCTTGTTGTTGTCAAGTGCCATCGAGTCCGTTCTAACTCATAGCGACCCTGTATAGGGCTTCCAAGGAGCGGCTGGTAAGTTTGAACCACTGACCTTGTGGTCTAGTGCTTTATCCCACAGTGCCATACCAGGACACAAAAAAAACTCTATGGGGCAGTTCTACTCTATCACATGGGATTACTATGAGTTTTAATCAACTCAGTGGCACCTAACATCAACAATATTATGAGATTGATGCTGCCTTTTTCCCTGTTATCTTACGTTTCCCCACTATACAGACGGTCCAAGCTCACCAGCCACTCCTTGGAAACCCTATACAGGGTCACTATGAGTTGAACTGACTCGATGGTACTCAACAACATACAGATGGGGAAACTAAGGCTTAGGTTAAGTAGCTTGGCTAG